AGGGTTTAGGGTTTAGGGGGTGTAATGTAGGGGCCTTAATAGTTAGAATAAGGTTTTGCGGCCCATGATACTATAATTATAATAAGGAACCCCCAAACTAGTTTAGGTAATTAGTAATTGCGGCCCATGATACTATAGTTATAATAAGGAACCCCCAAAATATTATAATAAGAAACCACAAAATATTATAATGAGGAACCCCCAAAATAGTATAGGTAATTATGACGGCCCCTATATTGTCGGGGCTGCAGGGCTCAAAGATGCAAAGGATCGCAAAGGCTGCAGGGTCTCGAGAGACAGGGGCTTGTGCAGTGCTGAAAGTCCCCCCCCCCAGCTTGGGTTTAGGGTTTAGGGTTTCGGGTTTCGGGTTTCGGGTTTGGGGTTTCGGATTTAGGGTTTAGGGTGGCCAACTCTCGGGCTTGTCTGAGGTCAGGTTTTAGGGCTAGGGGCCTATTTAAGTTATTTTTTTGCCTGCGAAGCGGCTAGGATTCCAAACTTCTAAACCCTAAACCCTATATAAGCCAAAAACCCGAAACCATTTTCATGAAGACTTCTGCGGGGTTTCAAGGGCGGGGGCTTCGGCTGCTTTTCTTACCACGATCGGGACAGCTTCGAATTTTCAGGGTTTCAAATAAGGGCCTTAATAATTAGAATAGGTGTTGGGGTATGCTATACTGTGATCATAATAACGAAGCCCCCAAAATAGTATTGGTAGTTATTTCGGCCCCTAAATATTACCCTGGTGCAGTCTTCAGTGTTCTCGGCTCAGGGTGTGTGTGTGTGTGTGTGTGTATCTCTCTCTCTCTCTCTGTGGAGTCTGCGGCGGCTAAGTGAAATTGAAACGCCCGGAGCTTGGCGAGTATATTCTTCGTATTGCTGCGCAAATTTAAATCATCTTCATTGGGTTTTCCGCAACAACACAGCTGAAGGATTAAGGGTATAGGACAGTAGGGCTCACGTTCTGGATTCGGAGCTTCAACGACGCATTTGCAAACTCTGCTCTGCAGCTTGCACCCCAAGTAGCATGAACTATCATAGTTCAACTCAATGCAAGTATGTAAGCTTCGAAGCTTGACCCTGAACTCATTCTCATGGGGGGGACTTGCTATGATACCAGCCCCTCCCGTTCGCCTTGGAGGTCGGGGGTTCACAAAGACGTAGCGGTCCTGCATTGCTGCCCCGGTTGTGTGTCCAGGACGGGAGGGGGATGGCCCTGTAGTTTTTTTTTGTGTGTGTGTGGGGGCCCTTCGATGGCTGCATAGCTTCGCCAGACACGTTCTCACAGGGTTTGGGGCCTGGGCTTTGTGGATTTCTGAATTGGGCCGAGTGCCTGATTGCAGCCGGACGTCCCTTCCAGGGCTTGTACAGCCCGTGGTGATGGGGGGTTTCTGGTTAGGCTCTTGTGAGGCTTGGAAAGGAAAGCTTGGCATCGTGGCCGCTGAGTTCGCGTCAGAAGGCTCATCTTCTACAGAACACGGGTCAGTCGTCAAAAACTCCAAAGAACGACCATGCAAGCGCAAAAATGCCAACCTCAAACAAGGTGCAGTCCAGAAAGGGCAGCAGACGTCATCAACTCAGGAATGAAGCCGTAAACCCAAAACCCTTTGCTCCGGACGGACACTGCAGAAATCACACCCGACTGGCAGAGTGGCAGCCATGATTGACGATTCCTCGTCGGGCGGCTCCCAGAACACCCCATTGAAGAGCATGGTCTTGTGGTCCTGAAAACACGGGATATAGCCACCACGCAGGGTCAAGATCGTGAGACTAATGAACATTCGCAGATCTGCTATAAGTCTTTGCTGATGGTGTGGTGATGATGATGATGATGATGATGATGATGATGATGACGGTGACGTGGATGAGGATGATGAGGAGAATTATGTTAGGATGACGACGATGACAAAGATGATGATGTTGATTATTTTGGTGATGGCGATGGTGATGGTGATGGTGATGGTGATGATGATGATGATGGTGGTGCTGGTGATGGTGATGGTGATGGTGATGGTGATGATGATGATGATGATGATGGTGATGGTGATGGTGATGATGTTGGTGATGGTGGTGCTGATGATGATAATGGTGATTCTGATGATGACAATTGTGATGACGATGGTGACAATGTTTGACCAGTGTCTGCATCACCGACATTTGCACGACCACTATCAGCATCACCATCATCATCATCATCACCATCATCATCATCAGCAGCTTTACCCCTATCATCATCGCCATAATCCTCTGCTGCTGCATCAACGATACTAGCTGCGGGTGGAGACACACACACACACACACACGCGCGGGCACACATGCTGCACTTGAGCTACCAGCTACCACTGTCTTCCAGGGTGAGTATGATCGCTATCGCCAATACCACGGGTAACACATGGGTAGTTCTCTAAACCATTGTCCCTTCTCGGATCCTTTTTATGAGGGTGCCGCACTATATTGGGGACCCTAAAAGGACCCCTAATTTAGAGAACTACCCACATGTTGAATACCCAACTTCACAGCCGGCTTCGTAAACAGTGTGCATGCTTTTCTACGTCAAATAATTAGAATGGGGTTTTGGGGCCCATTACAATAACTATAATAAGGAACCTCCAAAATAGTATATAGTAATTGCTAAGGCCCCTATATATTACCCCGCAACTTGAGCGAAGCTCCTGCCAAGCCAACTTGATCCATGCTGGCACACGATCGTGCCAGGAGCCGTCGTTGGCTTCAACTCCTCAGACTTTCTCGTAGGGCCATTTTGAGGCATACGGTTTTTGCTAGGGCTTCCATGTTCGGAGCCAGTAGAACTGAAGAGCTGTTGGATGAATGCCCTTCCGAACCACCTCCCGCAGACCTGGACGGAGCCTTTATGTTGAGCACTCTGGCACCGGAGCATACTGCATGGTCCGTCTGCACGCTGCGACTCGGAGGACGTACGATAAGCCAAAAGCCTATACACCCTAAAGCCAAATTTAGATTCGAAAAACCGTATCCTAGACCGCGAGATCCTTTGTTCTAAACTCTAAAACCTAAATCCGAACCCCGAATCCCAAAGCCTGAGCTCTGGGGCCAGGGCGGACCTTGATCTGCGTAGCGTGTGGAATGCCAGGAGATCCATCCACCTTTCTTCGGGCTTTCGATTTAGGTTTAGGGTTTGGGGTTTTGG